AGTTAGGACATAAAGGAACAGCGGCAGAGTTTCCATCTGAGGCACTAGCGTTTGCACGATCGTCTGAAGATCCCGAGAAAGGGGGTGGATGTGGGATGAGAGAGGGCTAGGAGGAAATCACACCGTCCATTTAAAGGTCCTCTAAGAGGGAATAGCTGTACATAGCGTCCAAGGCTTTACAGGATATTGTTCTTGTTGCTCGTTGATTGATTTGTAAACTATTCACTTCCTACTACTCAAATAAATCAAGTAGCACGATGAGTAGTTCAACATAACATGAACAGTCGGAATGGGCCCCCATTGGGAGGATGTACAACTAGGAATCGATCTTTAAGTAACTTAGGATAGTTAACATTCGATAATCAGTACGTACTCAAATTCCTGTACAATTAATTATCATAGTATTCTTACGAGTTATGCTCACGTCTGTGTGAGATATGTCTGTGGAGATGTTCTCAAGTTCATGATGGATGGAAGATTGACTCAAGATAGACTACAAAAATCACCACAAGTGATCAGAAGAAATGCTCTAGTAGAAGTTTGAGCACAATTGTCCAGCTTCCATCGAATCACATTGGATTAGACGCGAACCTTTTGAGTTACGAACCTCTCAAAATTTCTGACATCAAACATTCAACCAACTTCATGTCAAATTCCACTTTGTGTGCAATATGAAATTATACATTTTGTGTATCACTGTTTTCCCTGATTTCCAGTATGTGATCAGCAAGTTTAGGATGAGATGTCCGATCAATCGGTCAATGAACGACCATGCTCATGACACGATCGATTAAACGTGACCAACTGGGATGATCACAGAGCCAATCAAGCACACAAACGTCCAAATGAACAGCGAACATACCTAATTCCGAACGTATTCTATTCATGATTAGTTCTGTAACCAATTGGGACGTCAAAAAGATCAAGGATTATTCTTTGAAAACAGCCTATTTGGAATATCGTGCATTTTTCGGAATCCTCTCATTCTGTATCTATCTATCTATCTATCTATCTATCTATCTATCTATC